GACATGTAGTTACAAAGTTACTTATAGTTAGTAGAATGTCTAAAGTGGACTATCGAAATAAAGTGTAACCTAAAATAATTTTTTTACTTTGTGGTACAGAATCTGGAGATGAAGACGTAGACTGACTTGCTGGTTGAGTTGTAGATGTAAGTTGAGATGTCATTTGAGAAGTAGATGTTGGTGTTCGAGTAGATGCTAATGCAGCTGATATCGATGTTGATGCAGTTGATGTTGAGCTTGGTGCAGCTGTTGTTGATGACAGAGTGGTTGATGTTAGCACAGTTGAACTTAAAGTTGGTGCAGGTGGTCTTGATTGAGTTGTAGATGTTGATTCAGTGACTGCTGAGCGAGATGTAGACGGTGGGGCAGGGGTTGTTGTTGATGATCGAGCTGTAGATGTTGCTGTAGCTGATATACATGTCGGTGCAGGATTTTTTGTTAATCGAGCTATAGATGCCGCTGTAGCTATTATACATGTTAGTTCAGGGGTTGTTCTTGTTGATGGAGCTGTAGATGTTTCTGCAGCTGGTGATGTAGAAGAAAATAACATTAGTAGATGAGATAAAAGAAAAGCATCTATAGATGGCAGGCAACAGTGACCTATAGTGTAAAAAAGCAAAAATGAAAAAAAGGATGCCAGTGGGAAAAGAAGTTCTCCTTCAATACACGAGACACCTGCTATCATAAAGGCATCCTATTGTTGGGAAAGGACTATGAACTACTATGAGAACTGATATTATAAAAACTGACAATGTGCAAGCAACTACAACAGCTGAATGTGCGGTGACTGAAGATTTTAAGACTCCCTTTGGTAACAAACAATGCAGTATAAAACCACAAACTCAGTTCTATTATTGAATGCTTTCCTTTCTTTGACACTGACATCAAAATAACCTGCATAGCAAGTTTTGTTTGTATTTGCGGGAAGTATTTTTGCTTTGACTTTTCTTGGTTTGATTTCTAATGTAATGCACAATCAATAAGGCATTTATGGAATTGTAGAGCAAGAACTGAGTTATAAGAGTAAAAGGTCACCTACTTTAGCAAAGAGCAGTTTCACTACTGAATCCCTTTTACTCATCTGTTTTGTGAGCTACGCTAGCTTTTTTTTAATTTACAAATATTAAAGGAGAAGTCTGCGGCATCAAAGCAGAATTGTGAAAATGATGACAAACAGGTTTCCAGAGCCCTGTTCCTGTTCTGTTTGGTGAAGTCAGTATACAAATACATTTCTCATGCATGACTTTGATATTAAGATGGCACAGAAAAAAATTATTTACCATCCAATAAATTACCCCAAGAGATGGTCTATGGCAGGGGTCCTCAACTCTGGACCTCGAGATCCACTTTCCTGCAGAACCACTTTATAGCAGAGATTGTCTTACTATTGGGAGATACGAGGGTCTGTATTACTTACTATTGGAGAAAGCGTAACGGTCAATTAGGATCACGTGCGCCTTAATAACCAATCACATTACAGCCTTGACGTCACTGAATTTCAGTCAGAGTGGACACTCACGGTGCGTTCCAAACGGGATATATCGCCCTCCGAAGGGCACTTCGGAGTGAAAACTATCATGGCCAGACCGAAGTGCTCAAAACTGTCCACTTCAAAGGGCCCTTCGGAATGAAGGATTTCGAAGGGTACAACTGATGGACACTTCGGGCTCCCATGATCCTTTGCGCAGATTCTTTGCATGATGATGGCGCCTCCGTGTGGGCACGTGACGATGATGCAGAAGGGCATTTCAAGAAACTGTTGTTTGGCCCCCTACACCCTTCAACCCTTCGAAGCTCTCACTCCGGAGGGTAAACCCTTTGAAGGGATTAGGGCATAGGGATGAGCCCTTCCGAATGGAACGCAGGGTCAATCGCAGTTTACGGATACCATAGGAAGTGCCGTAAACTGGATCCCACCTGTCGCAAAAAGTCAGTGACTTTGCTTATAAAACAGCATTTTTTTCATTGTAAACTCTAAAAATAGTTAAATCCAAAAGTATTGTTTAGTGTAAAACATAGAGATTAGCTGATAGGCTGTCGATTCATTAAATAAGCTGTTTCCTCTAAAAAGCTGTTTATTCAGCGTAGGGAAGCCTCTCCTCCATTGACACCCATTAAAAAAAAACGGCCTCTGGTCTCCTCTCCCACGTACTGCCAGACCGGAAGCATTAGCATTACGCTTTTTTGTCTAAAACGTTGGCAGATCGCTGTGCTGTTCAGACTACATGACTTGATTGTCTGTCTTGAAGTCGTTGTGGTGTTCACACTACACGACACTACGTAAATGATCCGCAAAAGGAGGTCACACACTACACGAGCGGACAACAACTCTCACCCAACGACTCTATCCCGTCCCCAAACCATGTTTTGTTACGGGAATGACACGAAACAACAAGTGAAACAGAAGTTGTTTATTTGAAAATGAACATCCGGAAGAAATTAGCACTGCAAGCTGTTTGCGTGATGAAAAGATTCGCTCCATTTCTTGTGTCCAAACTTTTCTTAAAGCCATGTTGCTGCTGCTGTTTTTTCCTCAAGGCATGCTTGCTCTCTCATTGGCTGTAGCTCGTCGTGACACCTGACACCACGTGATGTCGAGTCGGCCGACCGGTCCAGCGTTTGGCGTCGGCGAGCCTCTTTGATGCGTCGTTCACACATAAAGATTGCCTAGCGCTGGTCACCTGCTGATTTTCCCACAATCACAGCCCAACCTGTCGGCGAGCTCGATAATGTGCAAATTGGGCTTAAAATCCTGGGCCCGTATTTATTAAGCTTCTCAAAGTGACATTTTAGTCTTAAGTGCTGATAATTCATAAAATGTACTCCTACTTTCAAACTTAAGTATAAAAGCAAGTTATCAAATTTCTTAAAGCTAAGAATCACTCTTACTCTCCCAGTTATTTAAGACAGCTCGAGAGGTCTCTCAAGTGGTTAGGAGTTGCCAGTAGGGGCTTGTGATGGCGCTGCGGAGAGGAAGAATGTTCTTGAAATATTTGACGATGAGCAGTTAATAAAACAGTTACATTTCCTCAGTTATTCAAACAGAAACGAGCAAAGAATATTTACATTACCAAAGAACATCATAACTGACTTCAGTCTAGTGCGAGTATTATATGCTCTTTAAAAACACTCCCGTTATAATCAGTGAAGCTACCTACACTGTGTCATGAATAAGTTACTTACCCTCTTACCCCTTATTTACACTGCACACGTCTGCGGCGCGTTACGGCTCTGACACGGCCACTGGAGCTGATCACGGCTACTCACCAGCCGCGCCGCGGCAAGTTTCTGAAGCGCCTATATTTTTGACGGATAATAATAATAATAATAATCGTCTTGCTGTCGTCAAAGAAATCAGCAACAGGCGATATCTCTGACTATCATCGATACATGATACTATCATCTAGATTGAAGGTTGTGATGACGATTCATTTTCTTACCATAATGTATTCTCTTGAAAATTCTTTATTGTCAAATGTGTCTTGAATGTAAACTCCTATTAGATATTTAACCATTCAATGTGAATTTATCTAAGAATATTCTTAAATAAGCAAATCTATTCAGTGATTGGTCCATGCATATTTCGTCATCCAAAATTTGTGGAAGTTTGTGGCACAGCAAAGTGTTGTGAATCAACTCTAAGACTGACACTTAAGATTTAGTCCTACACTTCGCTTAAATTACGAATGAGATGCTTGATAACTAACTTTTAAGCACAGCTTTGAGCCAAGAATTTTTTTATACTTAAGTGGGCCTGTATTCTTAAAGATTCTAAGAATCCTCTCAGAGAGCTCCTAATTTAGCTTAAAAATGTCTAACTAGGAGTCTTAGCTTAAAAGTGATTCAGGACCAATCTGAGAGCAACTCTGAGCGAGGAAAAGAAAATTTTTTTATCTTAGTGAGGAGGCGGGGCTGACCCCGTTGCTAGCTTTGATACAGTCTGTAGGGATTTCTATCATGAACGGACTCTGATATGCCGCTGAATCAACTCATCATAAGGCTTCGAACTAATCCAATCAGAAGATAACACAGAGATCTTTTGTATCAGGACTGAAAATACCTTGC